TAATGCAAATGATGTAGGTGAAAATTCAGATCATAACGTAGATGATATAGGTGGAAATTTGGATGGAAATTTAGATAATTATATAATAATATTGTTATTAAATTTTTAAATTTTAAAATCTTTAAATATTTTTTATCTTTTTTTTTTTTTTTTTTAAAGGTAAACATGCATTAGATGCAAATCTTTATTGATAAAAATTTTTATCGAGATATACATCAAACATCTTCTACATATAATTACATATAGAATTAACACTGCCTATTGACTATTTCTAGTAATAGCTTACAATCCATCTTTTAATTACCCAACTATATGAACTTACACCAAGGAAATGTGCCCATATATCAGATGGAATTAATCCAGGGGATGAAAATCCTGCCATCAGTTTTAAACCGTCTAAACCTGTTAATCAAGTGTGGCAAAGGAGCTAGTATACTTTTCAGGGATGATTAGAACATCTGGATATCTTGAATACTTTTTACCTGATTCTTCGGAAAAGATATTATACTCTTTGTTATCACCTGCGGCTTCAGATTTCCTTTTTAAGATCCTTTTCTTTTAAACAAGCACCAGATTGGGATAGCCCCAGGCTAGAGTGTTCTTTGTGCTATAGAGTCTACTGTGCCAGGGGATTTGTAGGCTTTTTATCAGAGTTAGATCAGAAATCTTGGCATTCTCCTTTCTAAGTTCAGCAATCTCAGTCACGAGTTTAGAATTCAATTCCTTCAATGAAGAGACAGAGTCTTGAGTTTTTAACTCATCGACTTTGAATTGTGGATTTGCCATTTTTTAAATAAAATACAAATATATTCAAAATTAATTATCGAAAAAAATGACCATTTAGATCTGATTGCTTTATTTATATAATATAGCGAAGCTAATATCTATGATATCTAAAATACATGTGAAGCGGGATAGATGCGATAGCATCCTCATTCTATGTGACTATTTATCCACTATTTTTTGATAATTTCTCTTGTATGCATCGCTTCTTGGATTCGGGTTCATCACAAGCAGAAATCCTATCTTTCAATAACCCCACAATTATACCAATCACCTGCTTTATATCGTCCCTCAAATTTTACTGATTTCCCTTAAGCGCTTTTTTTGTAAGATTTATTTGGTATTCGCTATTACTTGTATAGAAAATTCCATCAGAGATGAACATGATGAAATGCCAATCCATGGCTAGAGGCAGAGCCACATTATTTCACAATAAAATAAACTGATGATTAGTATCATATAATTTGCAAAAAAAAATCACAGAAATTTTTTATATACCTGTTGACACAATTCCATATAGACAGTCATAATCCCCACCCTTGAATGCCTCATCTGCCATTCGCTTCTTCTTGTTCATATGAAAGGAACTCTCGAGTTGTTTTATGTTTTGGAGGTAGCCTATCTTGACGTTAAATAAATTTACACTTGCAAATTAATTCTTACCTATGACCTATCTGCACCCTCCCTCTATTCCTAATCTTCCACCAAACCGTACCTATTAAATTCAATAGTATATAAAAAATAAAATCCTACTTGCAACCTACCTGCACCCTTCCTCCATCTCTAATCTCCCACCAAACCATACCTACAAAATTCATTAGTATATGTGCCCTTCCTTCCCATCAAAACTGTACCTACAAAATTCGTTAGTATATGCATCCTCCCTTTTCACCAAAACTGTACTTACAAAATTTGTTAGTATATGAGCCCTTCCTCCCATCAAAACTGTACCTACAAAATTCGTTAGTATATGCACCTGCCCTTCCCATCAAAACTGAATCTACAAAATTCATTAGTATATGTGCCCTCCCTCCCATCAAAACTGTACCTACAAAATTCGTTAGTATATGTATCCTCCCTCCTACCAAAACTGTACCTACAAAATTCGTTAATATATGTGCCCTCCCTTCCACCAAAACTGTATCTACAAAATTCGTTAATATATGTATCCTCCCACCTACCAAAACTGTACCTACAAAATTTGTTAGTATATATACCCTTCCTCCCACCAAACTACCTACAAAATTCATTAATATATGCACCCTCATAAGTGAAAGAGATTCTACTTACCAGCATAGGACAAGCCTAGTTCCGGATTAGCGACTGACTCGCCGATAGGGATAAAAATATTTAATTATTTCCTAAAGAAAACACACATTACACATATTTTTCTACTTAACCACCTAGAAAAAACACGTTTTTTTAGCTTTACCTATGAAACGTATTATCTATTTTTTTTGGTTTCTTCACCTACAAAACATGCACTGCTCATATTATTTGGTTTCGTCGTCTACACATGCAACACACGTTTAGTAGGTTCCACATATAAACACATAATACTAATGTCTTTTCAGCCTCACCTATGTTCGTGTTTAGTTGGATTTACATATTAAGTCACTTGCTCATGTTTTGGTCGGCTCCACGTACAAAACATATTCTTGCTCATGTTTTGGTTGGCTCTATGTACAAAACATATTCTTGCTCATGTTTTGGTTGGCTTCACGTATGAAATGTATTCTTGAGTGTTTAAAATGGTTTCTTATTAAATATGTATAGTGCATATTTTTTGGTTTCACCTACAGAACATATTAGTATATCCTCCTTACAAAAATACACTAAAATGTTCTGTTGACCTTTTCAACCTTTTTTTTTTAAAATTTTCTAAAATAACGTGTATGAAATTATGTCATAATTATGTACTGTATATTGTGATTGATTAATCGAAGCAATTTCTATACTTTTGTGAGACAATGATTGGATTTGCATGACGTAACATTAGATAGTTAATGCGTCGCACTAGCATAGATCAGAATAATCAAGAGAGAGATAGACAGTATATTGATAATAATTGTAAAAGTTTAATATTAAATCAATTAATGTAAAATTAATATTTTTCAATATTATATAGTATTCATTATACTATTACAAGAAAAATAATATAAGGTTTTAAAATAAATAATATTTATTAAAACTGGAAAGAAATTAGTGTATATAACACTATAATACAGTACAATCATATAATTCAATCAGTTATTATAAAGTTTGTAATAATTATATTAATAGACTATTAAAGATTTTTAATTAAAAAACTATAAGCCAGTAATAGTATATACTGTGTATGCTATAATATTGTAACATAAGTAATGGTGACGGGATCTGCACTGACGATGATTCCCAAGTAGTATCACGAGTTCTAACTTGGCGCACATGTAAATGTGAAATAATGTGATAGAGAACTATAGCATAATCAAAGAAAAGACCGATAAATAAATTATGTCATATTACGACAGAAACGATAATCTATAATGTAATGGTTTCACTGCGAACTATTTTTTCAATTTTTTTTTTGTTTATTTTATTTTCTTATTGTCGATTATTATGTAATTATTGGACTAATTGTATAAAAAAGACCCATCTCATTAATAAAAAAGTTATCTTTTATTTTTCGGCCAACAAGTCTCATGCAGTAATAAGATAATCTAGTGAAGAAATTTATCAAATAGTTTTAAAGAATAATCTTCAAGATACTGTAACAATCAAAAACAGTATACACTATATAATTATGATGATTTACTAAACTAATCAACATCACGTTTTTATTATTTATAACTATCTTATTTAATTGTTTAAAAACAACCACAGGAAAAGAAATATTCTATTCATGTTATAACGTCATTAGGTTCTCTAAAAAGGGATTTATCTTATTTCTATAGTATCAACGATCAACCAAAGATTAGAAACCATTAACCTCATTTTCTTGCTTAGTACTAAGTAAAAAATACCCCAAATCCCATGAAATATAATAAATTATACGAAAAAACTACGAATATAGAGAAAGGTATTAATAAAATATTCATCAAACAGAAGCTGTTATCATTCATACAATATATCTCTTAATAGTTGTTATATTTCTTTCTAGGTTATAATCATATAAGACTGGGAGAAATTTTGAAAATATGCCAATCATCAACCAAACTTTTGCGAAAAATCCAGGCAATATCAATTAGCCGAATCCAAGTCCATAACAACCAACCATCCTTAATGGCATCACTCTCTCCATTAATGTTTTTGTGTTGAAATGGAACGAAAAATATTCAAAATATCACAGTGCCGAATAACAAACATGAAAAACCACAAAGGGCACCAATACAAAGTCTCTCAAAAAGTAATTATTTTAAGTCCACCATCTTTTAATATCAATGTCATTCTTTTCAATAAACAATTTGCCATAATTATATAATCCCGGAAACTCGCAGATGACCAAAGGGAAATTCGTAATCACCCAACTAGCATTAACTGTTCGATTCCAGATCCAAAACAGCCAGCCACCTTTAGCATTGTCAATTCTTTTGTACCTATAATAGAATAAAAGGTATGAAACATACAAAAAAATAATATAGCTAATATATAAAACCACAAATGCCACTAATATATCAGCATTGCTTTTTATATCATAATACAACTGCGGAAGAAATATATTAGCGATAAGTAAAATGGTTGCAATGATTCAATGATATTGATTATCCAAATCCAGATCAAAAGTTACCGGTCTATTTCATAACCAGAATGGAGTAAAGAATGCCCAGTGTACCATAGCACGAGGTAATTAATGTGGATAATGGAAAACCTAGAAAAAACTCACATGGTAGTGAAAATTTTTATTCCACCACCTTTCAATACTCAGACCGTTGTTTTTTAAGAAGGTAGTCGTGGATTCTGAAATTCTATAAATAATTTCTAGGGTGTTATGTTAAAAAAAAATTTTTGTGTTAAATTTTTCTCCTAGGATATAGCATTTCAAAAGAAGTTTCCGAATCTTAGGAAAATTCAAAAACAAGCATGTAAGAATTTTGAAGAAGTGACATGAAACAACCAAAAATGTGTTTCAATGAAGAGAAAGCTAAAAGTCGAATATAATGAACTGAAAATATCTCGTAATCCTCCTCTGTATGCATGGGAGTATTAATTCCTTTTTGGATATTATCAAGTAAAGTGTACTAAATGTTACAATAATTTAGGGTAGATTTTGTTTGATCGTGAGAATCAGCAAATTTTAAGGTCAAATCCAACCCGAACTTAAAACCTTCGTCAGTGGTTCTATAATTCTTTAATTTACCGTGTTTTCCGATCTCTATCGGATTACTGTAGTCGTTGCCAAATGCAAAGATAAAGCTTCTTTGCATATGAGTACTACGCTTGTTAGAAGTTGACCATGAAAAAGGGTTATACTCTCCAACTATTAAATCCAATCCTTTGATGTTGAAGAGTGCAATAGTTGAACCTTTGTTTCGGCATGCTCTCTGGAAATCAGATTTATCAAAGCCATCTCGACTTTCACGAATAAGGAGGTTGTAACGATGTTGTATTTTGCTAGTTTGGTATTTAGTCTGTTGCGAAATGAAGCCTGTACCTTGATCCCTGATTCATTGTGAAATGAGATTCGCGTGCTTAGTGGATACCAATTTGATTGCAACTTTCCTATACGTTTAGGTGAGTTGAGAAATATCGGGTTTTCACTTGGATTCACGTAATACTTTACTAGCTCTTTATATAATTTCCCTATTAACAATTGTAAATAAAACAGTCAATTCGTGATTCCATATTAAAACATTATATAATATAAATCTTTCCACCTGGAAGAATTTTAGAATATGGAATAACATTCGTAGCGAATTCATCTCCAGAAACATAAGGCATCGAATCACACAAACCAACTTTTCCATCATCGACCTGATATCATTACATTGCTGTTGTGACCAATGTTCGGGATCTTTTGGGAGATTTGAAAACTGT